TTTTTTTTTTTTTTTTTTTTTTTTTTTCTTTTTTTTGGCAGAGTGTTTCACCTGGGCATTTTGCTGTCCCTGCCTCATGACTCAGACCTGCGTCGGCAGACGCTGCGGCAGCGGACGGCGTCGACTCAGGGTGGCAGGCTGGAGCTGGAGACTGGTTGCCTGCTCCCGTGTAAGGCCGCCGGTGCCGTAAGCTCTGCGCCGGGGAGCGTCTGGTGCTGTTTTACAGATAACTTTGCGCGCTGTCGGTTTTGAGTGACGGTCGGAAGAGCTGCAGGTTCATTCCGTCCTCGTTGCTCTTCACTGGTAGCGTGTCAGCCGCAGCCTGGCAGAGCCCAAGGACCGATGCTGCGCTGGGTTTGCTGTGCAGAGCCTTAGACACAGCTCATCAGCCCTTGCCCCTAAATGACCCTGGCGTGAGCGGGCCCTGCTGCTGCTGGGAGGCTTTAAAAGGCTCTCGGAGATGGCTGGAGCCCTTCTCTGCTCCCCGTCCCAGGCCACCAATATTTTCTTGCTCCCCTTGCACTTTGAGGAGCTCCCGGCTCTGTTGGCTCCAGCGCAGAGGCTTCGTTTGCTCTAAATGTGCAGACAGTGTTGGAGCCCGTGGTGAAGGGGACCGGTGCATCGTTGGCAGTTGATAAAAAGGCGTTTTTATTTGAACACTTTTAACACCGCCGGGCTCTGGAGCCACTTTCCATCCAGCAGCGTATTGTTCTCTGCGAGGCGTGGGCCGTGCAGCACGTTATTCCCAGCCCTGGGTCACCGTCGAAGCAGCCGGGAAGTCCCTGTGTCTCCCGCCGCTTCCTCCCGCTGGAACAATCGCAGATGTCCGTCGGAGGGAGCGGGGCTTCAGAGCGGTTTCTGCTTGGTCCCCTCGTGTGCCACCTCTCCCTCCCTGGTTTCCTTTCCCTTCTCGCCTGGCACATGGGACGGGGAGAGGCAGGGAAGTCTACGGGCCCTCCTGGGACAGGCTTTTCCTGCTCTTCGCTTTGCTGCAGCCTAATGTCAGGACACGATTCCTCGCTCCTGATTAAAGGTTTCCTCTGCCAAGTGATGCGAGCTGAGCTGGGTGGAAAGCTGCTAAAGGACCGTCTGACTCGGGGGTCCCGCAGTCGGGGATGGGGAAGCCGAGGCTCCACTGAGGGCTGTGGAATTCGGCCCGGAGGCGTTAGAAACTTTTGTGTTCAGGGTTTTGTTAAAAATGCATTGTCAGTGACCGTGGGTTGTTAATAATTCACTGTCTGAGTCCCGCGGGGCTGGAGTGTGTCTGTCTGTCTGCACGCAGAGATGCACCAGCTCTTTGAGACGCTCCAAATCGAGATGGCAGCTCGCTCTCTTAAAGCATGCTGATATGATTTTAAAAGCCTGAATGACCTTAAATCCTGCGATGGCTGTCTTTCAGGATAAATTATTTATGTCGCATCTTCAGTGCTGCCGAAGCCCTCGCTCCTCAGGAACGGGCAGAAATGTCAGGCTTTGGAGGACAGGCTCTGAATTTGGAAGGGCTGCGCTCAGTGTAATGAGGAACTGAGGGTTTGGATGGGAAGAAGTGGAAGATAAAGGCACCCGTCGAGGCGGAGGCGGGAGGGAGGGAGGGTGTTTGAGAGGTCCAGCCTTGGAAGTCGTCCCCAAACCGGTGCAGCCGCATTCTGCAGCCGACATCAGAGGGCTGGAAATTCCTCTTGATCTGCAGTTCAAAGCCGCTGCCTCCCTGAGGATGAAGCGCTTCATCTCGGGTTTGCAAATGCAGGCTCGCCGCGGCAGCGAGCGTAGCTGTGAAATACAAATCCACCACGGCGCCCAAATCCCCCTGAAAAGCGAGGAAACGCGCTTACTGCGTCTGAAGGTCACTGCTGCCTGTCCTGCTAAAAAAGCAAACACCCCCCGGCCCCCCGAGGGATGAGCAGAATCCAGGGCTGCTTGCTGGAGAAGGCATTTCATTTCCCTTCACGGCAAATAGGGACTTGAAAAACACCTGAAAAAACGTGGCGTGTAGTCTTGTCCAGGCCAGATCTGGCTAATTGAAGCTGTTTTACAGGAGACGGGAACTGCTGAATGTAACGTTCTCGGGTTTTAATAGCGCTTTGAGCCCTGGGTTGGCAGGGGAGCGCTGGCTGGAGCCGCTGCAGGACTGTCCCGTGGTCGGTGCCGCCGTGATGGGGGGAGCAGCAGCTCTGGGAGCAGCTTTCTGCAGGGTCACCTGGATTTCGGTGAACTCTCTCTCCTCCAGAGCCATCTCTTTTCGCACGTTGTCTTCCTCCGGGTTTTCTCACAGCTTTCTTGGGTTTTGCTTTTTTTTTATTTTTAAAAAGAAAGCTAATGTGCAAACCTGCCCCTCCTGGCTTAACCGAAGACGAGCTCTCCTCTGTGCTTTGATCTAGCGGGTGTCTCTCTCTCGCTGCCCCGATTCAGGTCTTTCAAACCACTTTCCCTGCAAGCGCAGCGAGCTGCCGCCGCGGCATATGGAGCTCTCAAAGGCTCAGATCTGCCTTGGTGAAGGGATCCCTGGTAACGAAGAACAAAGGAGAAGAAATGCAGAGAAGTCGGCTGTCGGAGCGGCATTGTTTCAAAGGGCATGGTTTCCGTAAGGCATACGCCAGACATTAAGGGGTGGTAAGCAGTGCTGGGAGGAAACCCCCCCTCTTTTTTTTTTTTTTTTTCCTGGAGGATTTAGCTTGTGTCTCCCTGATCTTTATCAGCTGTGTCTGTCTTCAGGAACATTAAAGATCTGGGCTTTCTTTTAAAGACAGACACAGATCACTCCAGCCTTCCCACCCAGAGGTCTCGGCTTTTCTCATGCTGTGAAATAATCAGCAGCCGCCATGTGCTGAGTTCAGTGTCTCTTGATTTTGGTTTTTCAATGTGACCTTTGCTGTTAATCCACAACCTGAACGGGGCCGTGTGCTGAAACGAAATGACCTGTTTCTCAGGAATTCAGCTCCAGTTTATCCTCAAGCTGCTTTAGCTTAAACTCTTCTCTCCCCCCCACCCCCCTTTCTCACTCTTCTAGGTCAGAGCCTTTATCTGAGTGCGGGTTTCGGTGCAGCACTAGTTTTAAGGGCATGTTAGATATGGGGAGATAATGACTCACGGTTTTCTTTGTGGAAATACCCTTCACCTCCCTGGCTGTGCTTACAGGAGGTACTGTCACTGTGGGGTTGTCCCTAGCTGCTCCACCTGACGCAGGGCGTGTGGGGGGGAGCAGGGCAAAGGGGGGTCCCGAGCAGCCTGCTTCCCTTGCAGACGTGGCACTGACTTGTTTTCTGACAACCCCCCGTCCGTCAGTCTGCGTGTGGCGAGGCGGCGCATCCCTGTTGCGGGAGTATCTGAAAGGAGACTCCTGCGACTCCGAGCGCTGTCGAGGTGCGGAGCGGGGTGGGATGCGTCACCCCGTGAGTAACCAGCGGGAGCGTAACGGGGAGTGATGTCGGTGTTTTTGTTCTCCTGGGTCAGGACCGGAGGTGATGGCCCGCAGCGCTGGCACTGCTCCTGTGCTGGCTCAGGCCTGTGACACATGAGACCGAGTCAGGAGTCTCATTATCTGGCACGTTTCTCAGCTCTATCTCTGCTAATTACCCCCAGCTGCCGGTGTTCAAACCAGGCCGGGGCTCTCCTGCCCATCCTCTCCCACCGTGACGCCGTCCCCCCAAGGTCCCGCTCTGCCCTGGCAGCCGCTCGCGCCGTCCCGGCCCTGCGATCCCGCTGCGGGTGGGAAGGAGCACGGGGGAAAAAATGCTCCTGTTGCAACACGTCCTGGCAGCGCCGGCAGGTCCCAGACGAGCACGTTATGAGCCGTCTCTGATCTTACTTTGGTGGGAAAAGTACAGGCCGAATGGGTTTGCCGGGCTTCGTTCCCAGTCTGCAGAGTGTCCTGGCTTGGTGGGGCTGAAGGGGAAGTCAAGGGACGTTGGTTCTTGCTGTGCGAGGCCTCGAGCTCGGGCTGGAGCAGAGCAGCACCCCACGTGTCAGGGGAGGGTGCGTTTCCGAGAGGCAGGAGTGAGGTGGCTTCCCTGGGGAGGTGGACGAGGACCTGCTGGGTCGTGGTGGGTTCGAGCTCTCACCATTCCCAGTCCCACAGGGGTGTGGCCAGTGCCACCAGAGAACCTGGGATCTCAAGTGACTTAGAAAGCGCCAGAAGATAGAGGGAGGAACATCTTCCCAACGAGAGTGTCTGTAGTTGAGGAGTTTCTCACTTGGTAGAAGAGCTGCTTTTAATTAAAAGGCAGTTTATTTATTTATTTCCCTGAACCGCAGAGAGCTCGTGGTTTGCTTGAGGGCAGGGGAGCCGCTGGCATCACAGCGATGCTGCTGGTCCGTTTTTCCTGTTCTCACACCTCTGCCGTGACAGGGAGTGGGAATGTCTGACACGTGAGGGCAGACCTGGTCTCATCCTGGCCTCTGTTTACTGTGGCATCAGTAAATTGTAGTTTATCTAGTTGCAGGTGAGTCTCAGAAGGGGTCTGGATTTTAATACCCAATACAAACCATTTCAAAGGTCGTGGGCACCTGGATTTCAGTGCCTGGGTCGGAAAGAAGCTTTCAGTGTTGTGGTGGATGTATCTGTGACCTTTCTGGTCGCGTGCCCTGGAGGTCAGGGATCGGAAGTTGGAAGCTTCAGGTGTGAAACTGTCCTGTTCTTACCCGGGGTTGGTATTGTGGTCCTCTTTAATGGTTAAGGAACAGGTTTTCCCAGGGGAAAGACATCTGTGGTGCAGAAAGGTGCATTTATCCCCTGCCTCTCGGTCTGCCCCGAGCACCCGAAACTCCTGGGGTGGCGAGCGAGGCCTCCAGTCATCACATTCCTATTCCCTGAGCCGGTGCTGCTGGGACGGGCCTACCTGTGCGCTGCTGTCAGAGGCACGAGCTTGCCAGGGGCCTGTCCTGTGATATCCTGGTAATTCAGGCTCCTCTTCCTGTCCTCACTTCCTCCGTGCTCGGTCTCTGGTGCCGACCGGAGCTGCCAGGCTCTGTGGAGCCCCACCGGCGCAGCACTGTGCGGGCCGGGAGCCATTCCGGGTAAGCTGTGGTGTGGGAAAGGTTCATTCTGGGCTCATGTGAGGTGGATCAAAACGTAACCAGATCGATGTTGGGAAGGTTTGTTTCGCTGCCTGCTTGGACAGCTTCGGGGGGGGCTTTGGAGTTGTGGAAATAGAGTGGGGCACAGAGAGCCGTCAGAGTGTTGGGAGGTTGTCGACGCGGGATCCGAGCGGTTGGGAAGATCTGCCTGGGCTGTTCAGGGATGGGAGCGTCTCTCCTTGTGCGAGGCGTGGGGCAGCGCCGCGCTGCTCCGTCTGCCTTCTGCTCGGTGAGCCGCCTGGCAGATTTAACGTCGTCCGTGGCTGGAGGGGCCCATGGGGCCGCGTGCCAGGGCTGGCCGCGGTGCCTGCTGACGGGCTGGAGGCTTTGGGCTGCTGTCGCACTTCCACGTGAGCAGCCTCCGGCTGCAGATAAAGGAGCTGGATTGATGGCGCAGGATTAGCTTGGCCGGGTTTTCTCTGCTGAGCCAAGCGGTTGTGTGAAAAACATCCTGGGTTTCAGCTGCAGGCTCTGCGCTGGGCTGGGGGCCCTGGCCATTTGGGGTGGGGGATCGCACTGGCTCCCACCACTGGACCCTGCTCCTCTGGGGTGTTGGGAGAAGCAGGCGGCCCCTTCTGAGCCAGCCGGGAGTGGGCAGGCCCCGCAGGAACTCGGGGCACCGGGCACTAGCACACACTAGCCCAGGGCCATGTTTCTCCGTGGCTTTCCCCTCCAGTCCCTGACCTCTTTCTCCCTTCCCGCAGGCATGAGTGACCAGGCTTGCCCCCAGCGCTGAGCAGCCGGAGGTGCCGGGAGCCGGGCCAGGATGCCGATCCCTCCGCCCCCGCCGCCACCGCCTGGCCCCCCGCCGCCTCCCACCTTCAGTCAGGTAGGGGCTGGCTGGAGGGTGGGGAGGTGGCCTGTCTCCACCTGGTGCTACTTGCCAGGGGCTCCTGTGTTGTCTCTGGACCTCCTCAAGTCCAGCCTACGAGAGCTCCGTGGGCTGTGCCTCAGTTTCCCTTCCAGCAGAGTCTGTATGTGGCTGAAGGGGCTGCACGTGGCTTTTCTTTGTGCTCCTGTGTTCTGCCCCGTGGTGGCTCAGGGTGGGGGGAGAGCAGGGGACCTTGCACCTGGCTGTAACTGAGCTGCACCCTGGGTTTAGGTAGGACAGGATCTGACCCTCGCCCTGCAGGACAGCAGCGTAACCTGGGGCGGCCCCGTCGCTCCGTCCGGAAGAGAGCTGGCTGCTGGCGGGGGCTGGGGGTGCCTCTGGTCGGGCTGTGCATCGGGGTGTCCATGAGTACAGGCGAGTTGCTGAGCCCCCTTCTTGTCTCCAGGCGAACACAGAGCCTCCGAAACTGAGCCGAGAGGAGCAGCGGGGCCGGGGGGCCCTCCTGCAGGACATCTGTAAAGGGACCAAGCTAAAGAAGGTGACACAGATCAACGACCGGAGCGCGCCGATCCTAGAGAGTGAGTGCCCGCCTGGCCTGCCCCGGGAGGTGCTCAGCCCGCGCTGGCTGCTGCTCTGCCCTTCAGGGTGGCTCCTGGGCTCTCACCCATCTGCTTTCCGGCGGCTCCTCGTTGGAGGAGCTGATAATACCAGGCTTAACCTCTCCGCCTCTCTCCTTTCAGAGCCCAAGGGCAGCAGTGGCGGCAGCTACGGCTCTAGCTCGGCTGCGATCCAGCCGAAGGGCGGCCTCTTCCAAGGCGGGGTGCCCAAGCTCAGACCGGTGGGGGCGAAGGACAGCTCAGGTAATGGCCGCCTGTCTCGTGGTTTGCGTGGGGCTTCCCTGGGGAGGTCCCCGAGTGGAGGGGGTTGAGGCTCTTGCCGTGTTTACCTGGGGATTTCAGCTGGTTAGAGGCCGGAACCCCAGATCCGTTACGCAGACAAGCTGCGCTCTCTCCGTGCCACAGCGTCCCACGGCCCAAAACCTCCTTGGAGGGCCTGGCAGTCGCGTGTGCTGCTGAACGTTTCTCTCTGCTATTTTCTGTGGCAACCTGCCTTCCAGCAAGCCCGAGAGCAAATAGCAGTGGTGAGAGAGGAGC